TTTGAAAACAAATGAATTGTTGAACAGATCATATAGGAGTCGTTGGAAATAAATGCATATTATTAGACAATCAAAGTGTTTTTGACCTTTCATGCATATCAGCCTGTTGTTGGAGACCCCCCAAAACCAAAATATGACCTTTTATAATACAAATTAGGGGCTCTTTATGTAAGCTTTGCTATTGTTGACACTGGTGACAGTTACTGTTACAACTGCAGTCTGCAATTTATTGCTTGTGCTTGCAAATGTGCACACATAACACACTAGAGACTGGATGTTTATGTGAAAGTCAATTAGCAAGTTAATAGCATATTTAACATTAATTATGTACCAAATGATAAACCGTGCTCTATGTACTTATGCACTGTGCAGTCAACTGTCTAGTGCATAAACTTTACAAGGTTATTATGTCATTAATCATCAGAGTCTGAAAGCCCCGCCCCCTTCATTGTGTAATTAAAGCTGCAACAGATGAGTGGATGAAGTGTCCAGCATTACATGCTTGGGGCATTATCATACACTCACTGCATCTGCCAGGCATGACACAAGTGTTTTTTTTTTGTTAGTTTCAATCCATTCATGTCCAGCACCATGTTATTTCAATAGCAAATGCACTTGCATCCATTTGTCCACCCATGGGCATACTAGTCTGAAAATAAGATGCGTTCTTAGCTATTTTTAAGCAGCGGAAACAAGCTGCACCACTGACCAACTGAAAGCTGGTTTAAAGTCAGTGATGCATGATGTTGTTTAAAGACCACATTAGTAATATGCACATATTGTAGCATCCTGGTAAAAAAAAAAAAAAAAAAAAAAAAAAAAAAAAATATATATATATATATATATATATATATATATATATATATATATATATATATATATATATATATATATATATATATATATATATATATATATTGACTCTTTCACTGATGGTTCACGGTTCATTTATTGGTCACTTTCCATAGAACTATTACACAATATAGCATCATAAATCACCGTAAGAACTAGACAGAAAACAAACAAACAAACAAACAAACAAACACACAAACAAACAAACACAAATTAATCCTGAAAGTTGAAACACTAAACCAACATCAAATTTAAAATAAATCATTAATCATAAACAAATTAAATAAATCAAAATGACCTTATTTTTATGCCAGGGTACTGTAGAGGAGGTTCCGGCCGATGGTTGAACCTAGGATCCAGGAGGAACAATGCAGTTTCGCCCAGGCCGTGGTATCACTGGATCAGCTCTACACCCTCACCAGGGTGCTCAAGGGTTTATAGGAGTATGCCCAACCAGTCCACATGTGTTTTGTGGACTTGGGAGAAGTCATTCAACCACGTACCTTGTGGCACTCTGTGAAATGTGCTCTGGCAGTATGGGGTCAGAGACGCTCTTTTAAGGGCAGTCTTGTCCCCCTGTATGAACAGTGTAGAAGTTTGGTTTGCATTGCCAGCATTAAGTCAGATTTGTTTCTATTGCATGTTGGACTCCGGCAGGGCTGCCCCTTGTCACCAATTCTGTTCATAATTTTTATGGACAGAATTTTTAAAGCAGAGACTTGGGCTGGAGGAGGTCCAGTTCGGGGACAACTGGATTTCATCTCTGTGATACACAGACAATATTGTTCTGTTGGCTTCATGGAACATGGACCTGCCGAGTGTGACGAGGCTGGGATGAGAAATAGCACCTCCAAATCCGAGGCCATGGTTCTCCATTGGAAAAGGGTGGTTTGCCATTTCCAGGTTGGAGGAAAGTCCTTACCCCAGATGAAGAAGTTCAAGTATCTTGGGGTTTTGTTCATGAGTGCAGGAAGGATGGAATGTAAGATTGACAGGCGGTTTGGTGCAGTGGCAGTGGTGATGCAGTCGGAGTATCGGTGTGTTGCGGTAAAGAAGGAGCTGAGTCAAAGGGCAAAGATCTCGATTTACCGGTCAATTTACGTTCCTACTCCAACCTATCAACCTCGATCTCGGATACAAGTGGTCAAGTTTCCTTTGCAGGGTGGCAAGGTGCACCCTCATAGGTAGGGTGAGGAGCTCTGTCCCCTGGAAGGACCTTGGAGTAGAGCTGCTGCTCCACATCAAGAGAAATCAGCTGAGGTGGCTCGGGCATCTGTTTTGGATGCCTCCTGGACACCCAAGTAGGAAGGTGTTCCAGGCATCTCCCACCTTGTGGAGGTCTAGGGGAAGACCCAGTACACGCTGGAGGGACTATGCCTCTCAGCTGACCTAGTAACACCTCGGGACACCTCTGAAGAAGCTGGAGAAAGTGTCTGCGAAGAGGGACGTCTGAAATTTTCTTTTAAGACTGCTGCCCCTGTGACCTGGCCCCGGAAAAGCGGATGAAAAAAAATCAATGAATGAAAATTACCTTATTTTCCCTTAATCTGTGAAGCAGCCGTGTGCCCGTGTCCGTGCCTGGCATGTTTCACCTAGCATTCCATGGCTGGCGTGCTTTGCTTCACGCCTATTACTCCATAATCTCTGTGTCATAATTAAAGTTCCCAACTATAACTTAATTCATCCAAATACAATCAAATCGTTTACAAAATAATACAAGCTAACAAAATAACTCATTAAAATAACACATTACTTCAAGTTTCATTACACATATAGAGGGGTTGACAATGTGACACTGAGCATACAGGACTCTTTGCTTATTGCACTCAGGAATGTGAAGCAGAACACAAACATGCCAAATATTAAAGGTGAAAGATTATATTATTACATTTTAAATATATATATATATATATATATATATATATATATATATATATATATATATATATATATATATATATATATATATATATAGCTTTTAAAATGCCAGTTTTACTCTAGCACACAAGCAGATCAGCTTCCTTTCCTGAAAAGCCTTTAGGTTTGGAAGTTCTGTTGTGTAAACAGAGAAGTGACCATGGCCGGGAAAGCCATAGCCATAGATTATGGCCAAAACACAATCATTCTTTTTTGATTTAGAGAATAGCTACAGCACTTTTAGACCATGCGCCGAGCACGTCAACCATTTTCACAATTATAAACTAGCAAAATAGTTGATTCAGACACCCTATGTGCACCTGCCCTGTGTTCTTTTTACCATGTGCTTAGATAGTTCAAATATGACATTAACACATTGTCAGTAAATTTAGCCTGTTTGCTTAGATGTTTCTGGCCTGAGAATAATGAGAATCTGGCAGCACAGGTTGACATATTTTTAGTTCAGACTGTACATTGTACTAATTTCACACGGATTACAAAACCAGAGAACAGTTGTTTTCAATAAGAGTTATTTCCAGTTTAAAGATGTACTGAACATCAATGATTGTTCCACTCCGAGCTTGGCTAGGTGAGCTTCTGTTCAGTTACAAATGTGCATCTTTTTCATTCAATTATTACAGTCTTGTTAGTCTTGTTCAAGCTCATGCACCAGTGTTTCTGGCATGAGCATGATGAGAATCTGGCAGCACAGGTTGACATATTTTAGTGTGAATTAGTATGTTGCTAGCATTTTTTCAGCATGCATTAGAATTTTGCTAGCATGTTACTAGAATGAATAAGCACATGGCAAGCATGGTACTATAATACATTTTCATGTTTCTTCCATGAATTAGCATATTGTGAGCAAATTGCAATTTAATAAATTAGCATAGTAGTATGGCTTTCGCTTGGCTTACATTTAGAATAAATTATCATGTTGCTAGCATGTATATGGAATAATTTGGTCAACATTTTTTTATTGGCATAAAAAGTGACTGATGCGTAAACATTCTTAAATAGAGCGTCTTTAGGTATTTTTCTTGTGAGCTGCTGGTTTGGGGTTGTACTCTATATTTGATGCTTCTGTTTATGGTAATGTCAGATAGATGGTACATGTATGCATCATTGCTACTAGTAAAACCAAATAGAATCTAACTTAAAAATACAATCTAACTTTGCTATCCGAATATTGTAGTGATATTACTGTAAACTTAGTAACTAAATCATTTTGACTAAGGTATGTCTTTAAAAACTGATAGAGTACTGTTGATGATACTAACCAACTTTGCCATCTGAATAAACATAAACAAAGAACACTTATCACACACTTACCAAATCTGTAAAGACACGATAATCAACACGAACTTAAACCATGTCTTTTTTTTTTAAAAAAAGAAGATGAGTGGCAAATCCAGATTTCACCGTTTCCAGATGCGAAAAGCTCTTGAGTAAAAAATGTTCCTTACAAACATATTTTTGTCATGTGTTAGCAGACCATGGTAATCCACACATGTGGGTTCACACGCCAGCTGTGCTCTAATCATATGGGAAATAGAAACAAAACTTTTGTTAGGTACATTTAAAAACAGAACACAAATGACCCATGTCTCCGAACTATTCTTCTTCTTCTTTCACTTGTTCTAATTATGTTTGCCAACACAATGTGGCGTCTCTTGGAAGACTGTAATATGTAAAAATAGTCTTCGAAGCTATATCTTGCATATTAATGAAGTTTCATCTCATTCACAATACAGCGCTGTTTGGGTCGAACCAAGTCTTTTTCATGAATTTATGCTAAATGCTCAATGTACCGGCCGCTACAGACATCCAGTCTCCATACTGGAATTGACACAATGATCTTATCACTGCAACGTTGCTTTAAAATTTCTTTTCAATCTGGAAGAACAATTTTTCTCTAAACAATGGAAAAACAAACACTATTTAGTGAAATATTTGTGTCTTATTAGTGTTTTTAAACTTGCATTTTGGTGTTTCTTGACCCTTTAATGTAATCCTATTCAATAGTGTAAATTTGGGGAAGGATTACCTGTTTTACAGGCTAGCAGTGTGTTTGAAAACACATTTATTTTATTTTGTGCCAGCCCTAATGAGAAGACTCCTAATTTGCATTGTAAATGAAACATAATTGATTGAAAACAACAGCATTTGGTCTTAGGAAAGAAATCTGTCCAGGGCGAGCCTTCAAATGTAGCCTTCTCTTTTGTTTACAGGTACTTCAGGTCAGGAGCTCCACCTGTAATCAACCCCCTCCAGACGCGTTTTCCAAAGGACACCATCGTTCCAGGCTCCTTCGCTGTCACTTTGACATGGACGCTGCCCAACCGCACCACAGGGGTGTTCAATGTCACCAGCCCCCTCCCGGGAGACTGGTTCCTGGCCGCTCACTTACCAAAGGACGAGGGCAAGATCTCAGTCAAGGTGAGTTCAAAACACAGATGATGAAGCAGTCAGCGATCACAAGGCCAAATAAATTAGGGAATCAATTCTGTTTTTAACAAGAGCTAAGCCTGCTGATGATGAAAAGTGCCTTATGTTCACGCTCCTCTCGGCATTTATGCATTTATAATTGAAGCTGCTCACTTCCGCACAGTCAGAGGGTGGCCTTCATGGGTAGTAATTTAAAAGTGAGTGCTGTGATTTCAGAACTTGTCACGGACTTCTTTTTCAAACGAGATTACATATGCGTTTTCTGTCAGGCCGCTCATTATTTCGCTTGGCTTGTAATGACAATGGCTTTTTTTTGTATAATATCCCTAATGTTCATTTATATAGATTGTATTATGTTAGAAGTGAACAGCTTTTTCTAAAAGGATTATTTTTTTATTGTTCACAAAACCACACACTTGGCCAGGTATGACGCACATTTCTGTGGTATAGAAGTACAGAATGTTTCTAAAAACACACATTCTCACACACACAAAAAAAACACAATAATAATAAAAAAGGTTAATTGTACAGTAAAGTTCACAATAAGAATACAAACATTATACACAATACATTCATTCATTAATTTTCTTTCGGCTTCAGTTCTTTTATTTATCAGGGGTCACCACAGCAGAATGTACTGCCAAATTATCCAGCATATGTTTTACACAGCGGATACCCTTCCAGCTGCAACTAGGAAACACCCATACACTCTTTCTTCTACGCACATACACTACAGCCATTAAAGGGCACATAGTTTACCCCTTTTGTAAGATTTAATATTAATATTTTGGTTCTTCTGAGTGTGCCAGTTTAGGTTCAGTTTAAAAAATTCAGATTTTTTTATTATAATGTGTTAAAGGTGTCATTTTGGGGGCGTGTACACAGCTCGCTGTTTTAGGTGTGTGTTGCTTCACATGAAAATTAGTTTAAAATTCCCGCCCAATGTAACAAGTGGGAACAAACAGCTTGAAAAGTAGATTTTTCACTATAGGTGCCCTTTAAGTTTTTTCAGTTCACCTGCATGTCTTTGGACTGTGAGGGAAACCGAGCACTCCGTGGAAACTCACGACAACCCTGGGAGAACATGCAAACGCACAGATAAATGCCAAATGGCCAAGCTGGGACTCGAATCAGCAATCTTCCTGCTGTGAGGCGATTGTGCTGACCCCTATACACTATACATTTGCCTTTAAATATGACATTTTGACAGAATAGCTTTAAGCCTGATTGTATGAAGTAACAATATATGATGCAATAATATGCCAAGTCCACAAAATTTTTTTTACAAAAATGATGATCAATAAAACATCTTTGTACTCAGGATCTGACTAACTCAAGGTAATTGCAACTTTATAATGTTTGAATGTGAAACTTTTTCCAGATGATACAACTTCTTAAGTACTCCACTTTGTGAATGTTTGCAAGTTTACATGACTGTCATCATGTGATTTGTTTTTGAATGGTAGAAAGTGGGATTTTTTTTTAAAGATAGATTAGTTGGGGGAGACACGTTACATTGTGCTAATTTCAAATGGATTACAAACCCAGAAAACATTTTGTTTTTATTTTAAGTTTTAGGTAGATAAGTCTCTCAAGTTTGTGATGCAAATATTCGCTGAGATTCAGTTATTTTTATCTAGCATGTTTCTCAGAGATATTGGCTGAAGACAGGGGAGTCAGAAATCGTTATCTTTCAATTTAATTTATTTTACAGAAAACATTTGTTGTAATAATCAGTATATACATGTTAAGAAAAATTAAATCTGTCTCATCTTTACAACCATAGTTATAGTACAAATGTGCTCACGTCGACCCAAGTTCGATTCCAGGTTCAAAGTGCTTTGCCAATCCTTCTGCTCCCAATGCTTTCCTGTTTGAAATCTCTACTGTCCTATCATAATAAATAATAAAATAAAATACATTTTAACAAGCTTCCAAAATCAGCAAAAAAAAACAAAAAAAAAAAAACAAAACAAACAAACACATTTGCAATAATTCCTAAATGACTGCTTTACAATAAATACTTTAAATAGGGCTATCTTTAAAAACTTTACTTTCAACTTTAGCTGGGCAGAAATTCCTAAAATATCTTTAAAAGCCATTCTTCTACTTTCCCAATTGGTCTTTCATCAGTAAATTACAGAAGGTTATCATGTTTTTTTGCCTCAGATATGTTGTCTGATGAAAGCCAGCTCCAATATTTTATTTCTCTGGATTATTACTGTCGCTTTTATAAAAGGGGAAATTCATACATTTAAAAATTTTCTTTCTAAATGGTTCAGTTAGACTTTAGACTTATTTTCTTGCGATAGATACTTAACAACACTGGAACTTTTGATAACTGTGCGTAGGCTAGTTGATTTGTTTGCAGACCAACTCTGTCATATTTTAAGAGGCCATGATTGTGTGGACGTGCAGGTGAGGACTGCGGTTCAGTTATGAGTCTGGCTTCACTTACTGCACTTTATTAACGAATACTGTGTTCATTTAGTTTTGTTCTACATTGCACTTGGTTAGCCTACCTTTGACCAGACTGTTCTCACGGTGTAGCTGATATGAAGAACTGTCCTGGGAAATAAGAGACTTTACTGGGAAAAAAGGGACATCTGGTCACCTTTACTGGAGACTAAAACAGGGCTACTCAAAATACAGCCACTTCGAGCCATAGTTTGACAGGGTCACTGTTTTTAAAGAAGTATTTCCTATGTCATGGCGCAAATTAATTCTTCAGCCAATCAAGGGCCACCTTCTTTCGTGGGCCTTGGGCTTCAGCCCTACCTTGCTCTTATGTTAATCTGGCCTTGCCTACACTTGTCAAATTCAATTATTCTGTCTTAATAATGGGGCATGGAAAAGCATTTGCAGAATGAAACTCGAATATTACACCTATGTGACTAATCAGCTGTCTTCATGCTTGTTTTGTTCACTGCTGATTACTAGGTTAACAATACTACAGTCAGCTGTTCTAACAACTCGGTCGAAACACACCTAATTCACATTAGAGATTTATTTTTTTTTTTAGAACTTTCAAAAGATTCACTACACATTAAGATAGAAACCCAGCTAGTGTTAACATCTTTTAGAGAAACTAAACAATTCAAAGTGCATGTTTGAGCTGTGCATAATTTGTACACATGGCTTAAATATTAGACCTGAGAGGATATCCGGTTTCAAGGTTTACAGCGCTTTGAAAAAATCAAGATGTTAAAACCACAAAAAATTCTGTTATACTCTTCTGATAGTATATGTTATTTTTTAAATGTTTTTTTACAACTATTTTATTTAGCTTTTTTTAGTGCAACAGTATCAGTATAGGACCCTTCACAATTCAGCAAACATCTGAAATCACTTATACACCAACAGGCAAATTGTAAAGAATTGTAAAGAAATTCTGTGTTTTTGAAACTAATGAAGACAGCAGAAGTCAATCATTTATAATATTTTAATTATGTTTACTGCTCTAAAATATTAAAAATGTTTCTTAAAAAAATATATATATATATTGTGTTTAATGTTGGAAAAATAGTTTTTTTTTACCCAGACATAACAAAAGAGCATATTTTAGAGCAGAAGCTCTTAAACTTTTTAGCCCGCGACCCCTTAAATAACAAAATCAGTGACTCGCAACCCCCTCTATCCTCGGAGGTGGTTATAACTTAAAAGCATACAAATATTGCACACAATGATGCACATACACTAATAGGAACTATTTAAACAAGCTTATCGACATCACAAAAAAGTGCAACAGTCTATTTTTTATAATCATTATTGAACTGTTTAATTTAATATTAATCTCACTTAATGAGAATGGTTAGCACAATGTTTATAGCACAAGAACTTGGTTTAATTTTGGAGACTTGGAGCCACTTGGAGATCGTCCTTCTTGTTCAGTCTTGGCCTTTTTTTTTAAATGTATGAAAGTGCCATAAAGGTGTCAAAGTTTAACATTGTACAGTAAAATCTGCTGCAGGTAACACTATTGCTGTGATGTTAATCTAGCATAATAACCCCTGGGGTCGCAATTCAATGGAAAGCTAATTAAAAGGCTGATGACTTTTTATTTGCATGTTTTTTATGTAACTATTAAATGTTAAGTATATATTAAATATATTATAAGTTAAAATAATTAGCCCTAGTTTTTATATTCTGCAGGTTATGGATAAAATATGATAGTTCTAATAGTTTAATAAAATATATGAGATTTTTGGAAATCACCAAGCGACCCCACCAGAGGGTCCCGATACCCACTTTGAGAACCACTGTTTTAGAGCAGTAATCACAATACTGTGAAACTGTGCTATTTTAATTCAAGGTTATCATACCGTCAGAATCTTATACAGGCCCATGCCTAATTGGGATGCATGTAACCTGTAACCAGACTTTACAGTAATTACAGTACAAGTTATATATGAAGTAATAATTTTGAAAATGTGTCTTTTTTGTTCTACTGAAAAAACATTGCTCAGTCTTGAAGGCTAAAGACAAATCTGTGTTCCTAATTTGTACAAGAATAGATTTTAAATCAAAAAAGCAATCTGTATTAAAACACAAGGGGTCAATCGTTCATCATGCGATATGCGTAAATAATAGCATGTCAGCAGTGGCTAAATTATGGCCTAATAATGCTCCCTGCCAGTAAACACAAATGTACAGCAGGCTGTTGTATTTATATTAGGGGTATTATTGCCCAGAGGGAACATTTAAATAGGGGGAAATCAGCCAGTGGAAAGTGTTTAAAGGGCTCCTGCTGCTGGGAGTTCACACAGAAATCACAGGACACTGTACTGGCTCACAGTGGAGACACAGTTTGCTTAATGTTTACACATACTCAGTTTCAAATCACTAAAAGACAGCACATTCAATGAGTAGGAGAGTCTTGTGAATATATGAAATGCTTTATAATGTAGTGTAGGTCAGTTATTTATTCATGTACACGATTCTCATAACAATACACATTGCTCTGTTAAATGTAGTGGGTGCTATATTTTGAT